TCTCACCAGAAGCATCTATTTATTTAGGGGGAGGTAGGCTACCAAAAAAATAACACATCTTCATTTGGGTAAATCTGGAAAATACCAATAGAGAAAGGTTAGAATCAGCTGTAATCCAGCCATCTAGAATCGACTTGCTGGGAACACTTTCGTGGACATCCCACAGTGTTCGCTATGTATACACTTTCCCCCAAAATGGGATCCCTTAGTACAATTCTGTCTTTATAGTCTTTTTAATTTTTCTGAGCTTAGAGTCTTTTATAACATCGATGTTAATGATCAATCACACACAGCTATGCTTTAACTTATTAAATCTGCTGTTGTCCACAGATCCCATTCCAGGAGGATTCTCATGTAGAAGATGAATGAACACCAGCCAGAGGCCATGAGCTCGAGGGTCCGGTGACAGGACGTTTGCCTGTCTCTGGACGGGGAGGGCAAGTGTGCGTTTGTGGTCGAGTGCGGGTTGGATGGGTTCTGTCATGTGGAGGTTTCTTTGAAATTGTTCGTTTCTGCTCATGGAACAAATGTGCCATTATTCGCCTAGTGTCCGATATATAAATGTTGCATTAAAATCTTGAGGCGTCTGCTGTCTCACAGTGTGTATACTTTGAAATGATATTAGGGCATTATAATAAAATGCACTTTTGATGACATATGAACTGAGAAGGCATTTATTTGTATGAAACATCTTCCAAAGATAATATATATTACATAGTATTGGGTTCTATTGGTGATAGATAAGGATTTTTTCATGATTTTTTTTGGCTACCTGGGATGCAAAAATGTCATATTATTTGGAGACCTCACTTATAAGGAGAAGCAAGAAGTGTTCTATATTAATCATTAGAGGGTCTTTCACGATTTAGAATGTAACAGGACCCCATGTGGGTAGCTTTGTTATTTAGCCCATTGGTTAGCCCATTGGTTTGCTAACATTTTAAATTCAGGCAATATTTTCTGTGGCTCCACTTGCCCTGCTGCTCTCAAAGGTATGTGCATGGCACACAGACCCCCCGGAACCATGCTGCGTTCTCCTTTACAACAGAACTCTGCCTCAAGGTGCCAAATGTGAGGGGGGCGGGTCATATTAGCTACTCTTCTGAAATGGAAATCCCTGCTATGCCAGTAGATCTAGAATCCATTTTTCATTCAACTTGGACAGTTCAGCTCTATTGCTTTGTTTGGTCTCTGTCATACAATCAAACACAGTGGCGAAGAAGGGGTTTCTTCAAGCTGGTGTACCCCCACCTGGCTTGAAACATACAAATGGTGTCAACTTACAACAGACCAGGAAACTATGACCAAAGACAAATGTCTGACTATATAAAGAATGGGGACTCTTAAAGTGAAGTTCACTGTAGTCAGCCCAGCCCAGTGACAGGCCCATAAATTTGTTGGAACCTCAAGTACCTTCTGAAAGGCAGCATTAACATCACAGACTTTGGGCTTTTGCATCAGCATTTAGATCCTCACTCTGTGGTTACAGACCAAGCATGTAACTTGAGGAGGAGTTATTTAAAGTCTCTGAGGCAAAATTTATCTTTAAAAGTAAAGCAATTGTAACTTTGCAGGATTGATGGATTAGGTAAGGGATCTTTTGTGAAGGGCGTGACTCAGAACAGGTGCCCACTAAAGTTAGTTGTCCTTCTTCCTTTTTAAGTTCTCATCTGTGTCTAAAACTTTTAACCTGATATCATAACAATGAGTGTGGTGACAAAATACTACTGTCACCTTACTACTACCTGCAAAAAAAATAGGTAAGATTTACTAAATAAATGCCAGACATTGTCTCATAATGACTTTATATGGATTACGAATCAGCATAACCCTAGGTAGGATGTGGTTGTAACCATTATCTTCACAGAATAGATGAAAAAAAAAAATACCGAGGCTTAAGTAAATGAAGAAATTTGCCCCAGCTCATACAGCTAGATAGCGATGCAGCTGGAGTAAGAGCCCAGGCAGTCTGTTTTCTGTGCCTAGTAGTGAAAAGTCAAAATGAGTAACATTCAGTCCCCAGTGTCCACCGTGAGTTTAGAGCACTGTTATGCTGCAAGGCAGACAACTAACTATACAGGTTGTTTACATCTCATTCTTCACAGTTACCAACAGGTGACACAGCTTGTCAACTTACAGCATTTGCTGACTTGCCCATAACTTTAGATCACAGTGGGCAAACACAAGGCCCGAGGGCTGAATCTGGCCCTCCACCTTGTTTTATATGGCCCAGCACCTTTTTTCTACCCAGCGGCAGCAATGAGCTCTTGCTTAACCGTTAAGGAGTAGTTACATTTATACAGTCCTAAAGTTACATTCTACCCTTTGAAGGCAACTGCAAAGCTGATGTGGACCCGGGTGAAAATGAGTTTGATACCCCTGCTTTAGACAATTTGGTAGAGTCAGCTGTGGCTTCAAGCAAGGGTCAGTAAGTTAAGTGTAGTCAAGAAAGGGTGACCTTTCAGATAAACTTGAAAATATTGGATTATTTTGCAGCAATACTGTGTTGTGCTTAGATGGCCAGACAGACAATATGGTTTGTACATCCATGTGAGCCTCAGATCTTCCTTGTAACATCCCTACCTCATGCTGGTCCAGACTACCTGAATACCTCCAAAGATGGGGAGCATACAGCCTCTTAAGGAAGCCTTTTGCACCTTCAGAGAACACTGACTGAAATTTCTGCTCATTGGTGTATTAACAACCTAAAAGCAAATAAGCAAAACTTTTAGTTTAAAATATCAGAACAGGAAAAATATCTTTATGACCTTGGGGCAGGGACTTATTTGTTAGGCAAAATCACAAAGGAAAAATGGATACATCTAATACATTAAAATTTTAAAACTATTTCTCAAAAGACATCATAAAATATGAAAAGCAAGTTAACTGGGACAATTTTGTAGCACTTAAAAATGACCACGAGCCCTGGCTGGCATAGCTCAGTGGATTGAGTGTGGGCTGCGAACCAAAGTGTTGCAGGTTCGATTACCAGTCAGGGTACATGCCTGGGTTGCAGGCCATGACCCCCAGCAACCACACATTGATGTTTCTCTCTCTCTTTCTCCCTCCCTTCCCTCTCTAAAAATAAATAAATAAAATCTTAAAAAAAATGACCACGAAGTAGTACCTAATGTATGCAGATATGTATGAGAGAACAGACAACAAAATAAAAGGAATGATGGGAAGAATCTAGATGCTCCCTAGGAAAAAAAGTGGAGACCATTTTGATGAAACTTGATTTTCATTTGCTAGCTTGATAAGCATTTAATTGTAATAATATTCTGTAATTCTTTGAACCTCTTTCAATGTGAACAAGGAAGGAATTTGGATTTTTTAAAGTTGTTTCATATGTTTTTCATAAACTGGTGTTAAATGTTATACTTTCAAAGGTATAGGCTTTCAAATGAGCAGAAAGCTAGGATTTACCATATTGGGCTATGATAAATAGTTTGAGTGACAAGTCTCTTAACCTGAGCCTCGGTTTCTCATCTGGTCAACAGAAGCAATATCCACCTTACTGGTTTGTTGTAAGAACGAAATGGAATAACACAATTAGAGAGATATGTGGTTAAAAACACCTGATGGTCATAAGACCTGCAGAACACAATAAAATTCATCAAATGTTTACTGAGTACTTATTCTTTGCCCGGCATTGTATCCCCGGGTGCTGAAATTGGATAAGAGATAAGTAAGACAGCTTTGCTTGTCCTGAGATAGGGCAAGTGGGATGCAGGCAGACCCAGGTTCTGGGTCGTAGCACTTTTATTTTATATTTTCCACATATTCATAATAGGTCCCCCAAACTCCATGCTGGTTGAGATGCCCCAGTCATTGTCCTCAAGAAACTCATAGTCTATTAGGGAAGACAAACTTGTAAATCACAACTTCTAAAGCAACGTGGTAAATGCAGCAATGGTGTTACACAGAATGTGTATGCAGAGAATAAGGAGGGGCTAATGAACCATGGTGGGAGGTTGGGAAAAGAGTCCCTGAGGGATGATGTCTGGCTAAATTGTGGGAAATAAGCAGGAGCTCCCACAGAAAAGGCAGAGAAGGGCATTTCTGATAACAGGAAGCATCACACAAAGCAAAATAAACAGGAAACTGCTAGTTCCAGGTCCTGCCATTAATTAGCTTAATTTAACCTTTATGGAATTTCCTCAAGTTCCTCTGAACTTTCAGTTTTCTCATCTCAGAAAAGTTGGGGGTGGAAAGAGGCAACCGAGATGTTCCGTAAGGTGCTTTCTAACTGCATAAACTACATGCTGGAGAAGAGAGAAAAGGGCTGGCTTTGGAAATATCAAATGTTATTTTTAGGGCATGAGCCAGAAACCTCATCTTTTGTGACAATCAAGATGACAGGCAGAACCTGTAGTCATTCAGGAAATTTTGCATACATTAGTTCACCCACCTCACCACTATTTATGGCATTGTCTGAGCTAGGTCCTATGCTATTAAGGAAGCCATCCTCCAATAGAGGGAGACACGTAAATAACTAATAGACAAATACCATGGAAACCATATTGGTCTATACACAGCAGGTGTGTAGAGGAGGTAGAAAACAAGTCCCTAGGGCGTGTAAGTCACTTTCAGGGTGTCAGAATTTAGCTCCTAGCAAAAAGGAATTTTCTGTTTCTTCATCCTGTTTCACCTTCTCCAAGAGGCCGCCATCATTTTCAGCTGCCATTGTCCCTTGGCAGGGCGATGAGGCGTCCTCTCTTCACCTACAACCTTTCGCAGGCCTGTGTCAGGAGCTCTGAGCACGCAGAGGGCACGCGGAGCACATGCAGGTCCCAGGCACCAGAGGGTGACAGCTCCGGAAACAGCTTTGCTCACACACGAGTGCTGCAGGGCCGCCCAGCATCTCCGGGAAATCGGGGCCGGGGAGGCGGGCTGCCCAGTGCCGGCAGGAGTCGGGCTCCCAGCTTGGGGGCGGGACTCCGGCTACCGGTATAAGAGCAGGGCGCCACTGTTCTGGCCACAGTGCTGAAGCTGACGCCTCAGCCACTGCTACCTGGAGGCAACAGGCACTGAACTTGCAACTCTTGACCCACAGTGAGCGAGGAAGAGCAAAAGGTCTGATTTCTAGTTTGTCATTTATTTAGTTTGTAGTACCAATGAATGGAAGGAAGGCAGGGTCTGTGGGTGCGCGAGAGCTCGGTGAGACTGGCCGGGGTGGTAGGCGCGTCGATACCCTCAGAGGGTCCGGGGGTTGGGGTCCAGCCCTGTCTCCAGGATCCCCGAGCGCCCAAACTCAACAGCTTCTCTCTCCTGCAGGAGCGCTTCTTCCGCCACTAGCAGCCAGACTTCTGAGGATGCGGCTTCTAGGGAAACTCCGCGCCTCGGCAGCGGGCAGCGCAGCCACGGAGCCGGCCTTCAACGTGCTCACCCCCGGCCGCATACCTGAGTTCTGCATCCCGCCGCGGCTGCCCGCGCCCTGCGCGCCCGATTCTTCGATCCCGGCCGCCGCTCTGCCCCGGCGGTGCGCGGCTGAGCCTGACCTGTGGCCCAGAGAAGGCGACGACGGCGCAGGACACACGGACTGGGACCCGCGGTCCCAAGCCGCGCTCTCGCTGCCTCACCTGCCCCGCGCGCGCACCGCCTACGGCTTCTGCGCGCTGCTGGAAAGTCCGCACACCCGCCGCAAGGAGTCACTCTTTCTCGGGGACCCCAGAGCCGCAGTGCTCCTGCAGCCGCAAGCAGCCCGATCGGCTCTCCGCCCGCGTGCCCACACGTTTGGCGGCTGCGGAGAAGACGCCCCCCTTGGCCCCTCTGGCGGAGTCCCTGAGTCCACAGCCCCCGAAGACACTCGCCCGCCCCGTAACACAGTCGCTCCGCGTCCCCGCGGCCACCGCCTCCTGCGCGCCTCCGAAGGGCTGCTGAGCCGCGCGCTGAGGGCCCGGAGGAATCGCGGCCTGGTTCGCGCCCGCTCTGTGTCCAGTGGGGACGAGGACGAGAACGAGGAGTGCAGCGCCGGCTCGGGGTCGCCGGCCCGGACCTTCTCCACGCCCCCTCTGTCATCCTCCAGCTCGAAGCTCGAGCACTTGGAGGCCGAAAGCACCGTAACTCTGGATCGCGCCGCCAGCGCCGTGCACTTGGCTGCCGAGTACAGTCCGGCCAGGGGGCGTCTCCGCATCCGGCTGCGCCGTCGGCTGCTCCGTCAGCCTGGTCCTGCAACCACCCGGCAAGACTCGTTCGCAGCGCAGCGCCGGGATGCAAGGGAGCCACAGGGCCGTCTTCGGCCAGGACTTCTGCTTCGGCGGACTCTCGGAGGACGAAGTACACCTCCTGGCAGTGCGCATCTAGACTGAGAACAAGGGCCCTGGCCAGGAGCCGGGCCGCCTGCTGGGCCCGGGTGAGCTGCTGCTGGGTCCCTCCTGCTGCCCTGAGGGCTCCCAGGCCTCAAGGCCCTGCCCGCAGGGTGCTTTCTGTCCGCTGAGGACTCTCGGACACTGACGGCCGCTTTGTACAAAATAAATGTTATTTATTCATTTTTCTATTTATGATCTTGCTTTATTGACACTTTATTTCTTAAATGTCTGCTTTTGTCATTGTTTATTTGTAGGAAAGGAAAAAAAATACTGACGCCCTCCTCTATTCACAACATCCAACCCTCCTTTCCAGGCTGGAAGAGAGAGAAAGGAACTGCACCCCATGTGCGTTGTTCTTTCTCTCCGGTTTATGTCAATGCCAAGTGGTTTATGGGTTTAAAAAGGAAAATTATCCCTTCAGAATCAGGCCCAACGCTAAGATTCATATGTAATTTTACACATTTGTTGTGGCATAGGTTCATATCATCATTCCTGCACACACATGCACTGAGCAGAAGACATGTAAGGATATTTTATTGGGAAAATAACTCCTTTGCCATTAAGAAGCATTAGGATTCTTTTAAAAGTAAAGCCTTCAGGAAATGCTGAGAAAAAGGAAAACAAAGTGAAGTACCTTGTCAAGGGTGGCCATGTAGGGAATAGATATTCCTGGCATCCCCCTCTTTCTCCTCCAAAAGCAGCCCTGGGAAATGCTATTTCAGAACAGAAATCTTTCCTGCCTCCTTAAACAAGTTGATATTTTTGTGGCCTTATTTCCATCTACCTGTGTATCTAAATTACATAGTAATGAATGGCTTTGCAATAGCATTTCCCAGAGCAGTTGAAGAGTAAATGGTTTTTTGAACCAGTTCTAAGAGTTTTTAAATCCAATTTAAATTCAATTTTCATTTGTTGATTCATCAAATAGACTTGAGTCCACTAGAAACTGATCATACCCAGGAGGGTTTGCCCTTGCCTGCAGGCATCTGTGCGTGGTGTGGGGACAGCACAATGGGTGTGTGTGAGTAGGTGGGGAGATACAGAGGCATCTTTTTTCTGCCACTTACGACTTCTCTGAACTAGGGAGAACCAGTTAATCTCCCCGATCCTCACTTCCTACATCAATGAAATGGGAGTATTAGTACTTACAGGATTTTTTAAAAACAGGACTTAATAATCAAATAACCCCAAATACATATAAAATATGACAGTATACCTCAAAAGGCTTGAACTGTACTGGTAAGTAGGTGCTGAATAATGTTGCAGAAAATGGACTCTCTCATTTCTTCATTTCCACTTGTTTCTTCCTGTTCCTGTGGGGGATCCTAGAGGAGTGGACAGCGCGCCCTGGGACTGAGGATTGCATGTGGCCAGGAGTGGGACTAGAGAGCCCTGTAGGATCCTGCTGGTAAATGTCCCCCTAATCAATAATTTGCGCTCATTCTGCATCAGAAAGGCCTTCAACATTGTTATTACTGGAATGAGATCCTGGGTATAAATTTAGTCAGAACAAACAAATAAAACTCCTAGATTTTAAACACAATTTCAAAGTAGACAAGTTAGCTCTTGGAAATCATCTAATTAAACAGCTTCTAAAACTGAGAAAATCCTGCAGAGGTGACTTGGCCAAAGCCACATAGCCAGTGACTGGCTGAGCTCAGACAAGAACTAGTTGTCCTAGGTTCACCAGAGGACTGGCCTTACCTTTATTCTGTCATTCAGCCATTATTTGTTGAGCCTTTACTCTGTGACAGGCACAGTATTAACCCCAGGGGGTGCAGCTGTGGACAAGACAGCTAAGGTTCCTGTTTTCCCACGACATCATTGTGGTGGGGATAGTCAAACAATAGCCGAATTTTGTTATTACAGATTGTGGTGACTATCATAAGGGCAATAAACTAAAAAGGATGATAGAGATTCTGGGCAAAGCAAGTGGCAGGTGGGATGCTCTCAGAGATCAGAAAAGGTCTCCCTAAAACCTGAGAAAGGAATAATTCATGGGAGGAACTTAATCTATCCAAACAGCCACTTAATGTATCCAGATAACCCCTTAATACACTCAAACCAAAATTCTTGATTTGCCCCTCCCAAATGTCTTCCTCCCTTAGTCTTCCTCATTTCTGTAAATGGCACCATTATTCTTCCTTTCACGCAAACCAAGAACCTAAAATCCTTAACTTCTCTCTCACACATTCCACTTGTCTCAGATGTAAATGTAACCTCCTTAGAGCTTCCTCCCTGGCCATCCCATCTAAAAACATCATCATTGTCACTATTAGTGCTTTATTATTCTTCATAGCACTTAACACTACCTGATGTTATATAATCACTCATTTTGTTGTTGTTTATTTTCTCTTTCACTAGAATGTGTGCTTTATAAAAGCAGGAACTTCATTTATTTCTAGTGCTTAGAAAAGAGTCTGACATATAGTAAACACTCAATAAATATTGATTATTGAATAAGCATAAGAAGAGATCAAATAAATAATGAAGAGTAGAGGACCTAGGATCAAGCCATGAGACAAACCAACATTTAGAAATTCAATAGAGGAGAAAAAATCAGTGCAGGAGAAGGAGAAGCAGCAGCCAGTGAGGCAAAGGAAAGACCGGCAGAGTGTAGAGTCATGGAAGCCAAGAAAAATAAGAGCAGAAAAATGCCCAGTAGCATTGGCAAGATAAAGGTTGGCAGTGAACTTATCAAGAACAGTTGTACGAGAGTAGTGACAACAGGAACCAGACTAGAGTAGGTCAAAATGTAAATGGAATGTGAGAAGGTACAAACAGGACCTTTTGAAAAGGGGAGGAGAGATAAAGGGCTATAGTGGGAAGAGAATACTGAGTCAAAGAGATGTATTTTGTTTTAATGATGCGACCACTGACCGGCAGTGACTGCAGAACACTGCGGATGGCTCATTGAAACATGAGAAAAACATACACAGAGACAACCAGGTCCTGTGGGGAAGTAAGGATGGAACAGTCTCTCTAGTGGGGAGCGCCTTGGCCACCCTCCCTAAGGGAGACCACCCCATTCTCCCACCTGAGCAGGATTTTATTGGGTTTGTTTACACAGGAATTCAGGTAAAGCTCATTAAACATTGCCAGGAAGGATCAAACAATAGATAACAAAGAAGTCTGAGGGCCTATTTTGAGTCAGGGTCAGATAGCTAAAGAACTGTAAAACTTTGAGGAACAAACTTACTTCTTACTTGGACCCTTATCAGTTAATTGAGAGCATTCTAAACAAAGCAGGTTTCACAGGATTTTACATATTCTTTCTTAGGCCTGGTCACCCGGGGAACCCGCCCTTTCCAGCACAGGGCTGTACCACCCTCTGTCATTGTTTCAGGCTTAGGTGGATCAAGGGAAGTAAGGCAGCCAAGAGATTAGGAGGTTTTCTTGCAGGCAATGAGGACTCAGGCTTTGTCAAAGCTGAGGGGCAAGGGTCCATCACCCCCTTTTGCTGTAGCCCTCAAAGTCCTTCCCTGGGGGCCTCCCATGTGACCGTGCCTGTCTTAGGTCGTTCCCCCCTTGGGGAATCTTACCCGTCATTGGCTAACTGACCAAGCATTGGGGGCCAGGCAGGGTGAAGTAAAAGGAGCAGAAGCAGTGCTCTTGCCAGGGAGATAAGCTTTTGTCTCCTTGGTGGCTTATGGTCCAAGGTCATTCCCTCAGCCTCAGCCTTGGCAAGGGTTACAGCTTCTGATACCAGGCAGGGCGGTTCCCAACATTTTAATATAAAGGAGTCTAACACATATTTGAAATATACAGTATAGAGGGAGATATTAACACTGAAGAGAAAGAAAACCATCAGTAACTGTAGGAGCAGACTTTGGAAAACCAAGAGGGTGTCCAGAACACACATGGTCAGAAGCAATGATCTAGAACCCATGCTCTTGATCCATTCCTTTTCCCACATCTCTACTCTGCCATCCACAGCATCATTCCACCCTAAGGCAGGTCCCTCTTGTAGTTTTACGATGTTGGCCGACAACAGCTCTGACTGCCCCATGATTTCTCATTAGAGTCCATGTTGCAGAGAAGGCCTTGTTTCTGCAAGCACTCATTTGAGTCTAAGACCTTACCCAGAAGGCTCCAGCAAATTCCTGCCCCCCCTCACCCATGGTTTAGATTTCCATGGTTTTGCTTTCTATGCTCTTAGTTATCTATGGTCAATAATGGTCTGAAAATATTTAAAGGAAACTTGCAGAAAAAAATAATTCATAAGTTTTAAATTGCATGCCGTTCTGAGCAGCAGGCATGATAGCATCTCCCACTGTCCTGCTCCATCCTATCCAGGACTTGAAACATCCCTTTGTCCAGCATCTACATGATGAATATGCTACCTTCCCAATAGACATTTAGAAGCTGTCTTGGTTATCAGATCCACTGCCACAATATAAAGTGCTTGTGTTCAAGTAACCCTTGTTTCACTTAATGATGGCCTCAAAGCACCAGAATAGTGATGCTGGCAATTTGGATATGCCAAAGAGAAGTTTACAATGTGATCATTCCACAAAGTCAGTACTTTTTTAAATGAAAAGGAATGTATGTATAGGGAAAAAAACATGGTATAAATAGGGTTCAACACTATTCACAGTTCCAGGCTTCTACTGGGCGCCTTGGAACACATCTCTCTGCAGATAAAGTGGGGGACTACTATATTTTATTGGACCAAATTGGATTGCAATCCCAATCATGAACCATTCTCTACAAAGGGAACAGTGTTAGTCTTACAGTTACTCGGCGTATCGTATCTCTAGTTGAGCGCAGGATTAGCATCTACTGAGGGAAATGGTTCTTCCTGTCAGGAAGTAAGAAAGGGGAAATGAGGTGGAGTATTAGAAAGAGCAGGAAGTCTGAGGTCATCAGAAGGACCTAGATTCCAATCTAGACTCTGCTACTAGGTGTGATCTTTGGGCAAATACTTACTTCTTTGAACTTCAGTTTTGTCTTTTCTTTCTTAAAAATTATATTTTATTGATTATGCTATTACATTTGTCCTGATTTTCTCCCTTTGTCCCCCTCCACCCAGCGCCCCTTACCCCCTCAGGCAATCCTTCCACCATTGTTCATGTTCATGCGTCATGCAAATAAATTCTTTGGCTACCGCATATCCTATACTGCACTTTACATCCCCATGGCTATT